CTTACTATCTAAGACACCACCAGAGTGTAACAGCAGACACCCACATACTATAGGCTGCCTGACCCTGGCATCAAATGGGGGCCTAGGTAATCTCTATGGGTCTGTCAGTGGTCAGAAAGGCTATTTAGAGTTCAGAAATTGTGGCAGTGGCTCCAGCTGTGGATAAAAACAGACAGGTATAGAGCTCCTGGCCAGTAGTTGTAAAATTAGTTATGCTTCCATAACAGAATACATCTGAAACCAGTAAGACCAAACTGTGTAAATATAAACAATCACGAATACTACAAAAGCCAACACCTACACCAGGAAAACAACAGTAGAAGCAGGCCTCTTAAAAATCCACAAAGCTATCTTAAATTCGTTAAATATAAGTATACAAGGGAAACAAAGTCTTAGCTAAACAATAAAGTCTAGAAGCCTTATTTTCACATCTAGAGCTAAGATGATCTTTGCGGGCATTATTGACTACATGAATTTCAGCACTTTTCCTTGATATATAAAACAGAAAATGTACAGAAGGCACTTCCTGTAGAAGGCACTACTTTGGTACTAGAAAAAGGACAGTTAACGTCACTTATCTAACCAGCCCCAAGCCCTGCACATTAGGTGAACGTGAATCATTTATGAAGAACACTCTAAACCCAACCCTTTAAAGTGCTGTTGATGGTATATTTTGAAGACTATCACTTGAAGTGTATCTGGAGAAACCCTTAGCAGAATTGCCAGAAAGCAAGAGCTGGGGTTTCAGTGCAACTTCATCATCTAGTTGGCAATCTGGGGATACACTCTGATTTATTTTTACACCATCACCACACATACGCACATGCACACGCACACACACACACCCGAGCATGCACACTCCAGATATAAGGGAGAAGGTAAGGCGCTGGTATCCCATCTGAATCCTTAGCACTGTAAGGTAAGCCAATCACATTCCTTCTTCACCTGTGCTAACTATTCAACCTTATAAAGTAATTTAGTGCCAATTCCGACTCACAGTGTTTTTAATCAGAGAACATTTTTAAATAACTACCTGAAAACATTCAGGACTTAGCAAAACGTTTGGCTGAAATAAATACTTTCTAAAAATTAAAATTAGATAATTTTATTCTTTAGGGAGATGATTCAGAAGCTGGGGTTGTTTTTAGATCAATTTCAGTTAAGGTTAACATTAACAATAGTTTCCATGTTGATTTACATATTAATGGTGATGGATACATTTATACTATTTTGGTTATTTAGTTTTATTGTCATTTTTTATCACTAAGGAAAACAAGATTAAGATATTTAAGAACACCTCACAGGTTCTATTAAGTTTTCCTCAGGAGTTTCTAAACTTGAGTTCTCGTAACCACCCTTTCAAACGTGTGGTTAGCATGAACTTTATGTGCTATCTCACAGGCCAGTCTCTTCTATAAAGAGCTGTTATGAGACAATTTCACTGAAAAGTACCAACAACACAGTTCTTAGTGTAAGAAAAAGAAAGAAGGGACGGAAGGGAGGGAGGGAGGGAGGGAGGGAGGGAGGGAGGGAGGGAGGGAGGGAGGGAGGAAGGGAAGAAAGAAAGAGAGAGAGAGAGAGAGAGAGAGAGAGAGAGAGAGAGAGAGAAAGAAAGAAAGAAAGAAAGAAAGAAAGAAAGAGAAATCCAAGTTGCTTTTGCTCATCCTGATGAATAGAATATGTAACCATCTGAGATTCTGGGTGTTCGCTCACTAGTCAAATCTACGCAAAATATTTTGGTGATCCCAAGACACAGACTAGAACATTTTGAACAAAGTGTACTGGACTCAAGTGTAGGAGGACTGGGTTGGCAAAGAGCTGGTTGTGCTGACATTCATGTGTGTCAGAAACAGTGCTACGGAAACAAACAAACAAGAACATCTCAAGGCCTCGGCTCCAACTCCACTCAGATTCCAAAGCACCTGTCACAATACACTAGAGTTTAGTGACTTCATATTAGAAACATGATAAATAGGTCTTAAAGAATCTATCTATAGAAAACATATATAAAATTGTATATCTTAAAATAGCTTAAATCTAAATTATCTATCGGTATAAAACAATCTCTCCCCACATCAATTGGGTTTTTCTTAATCTATGTAACAATATCATATCCAAAGCTTGTCATAAACTCAACTTACTTACACACTGATAACCAATCTCCCCCAACACACACATACAGACATCACACAGACATATGTTAATGTGTTTATCAACATTATACACACACAGATATGCTGTCCATTCGGTTCTTCACAGGAAGGAAAGGGCGCGTGTCACTGAGAAAGTATCTTTTCACAGACATTCATGTTTCCAACGTGTTCTGGTGTGAACCTTTTGAACTAGATTCTGCCCCTGACTGAACACAGTGGGCACGATAATTCAGGTTGCCTTTCACAGTCTGAATGAGTCTGTTTTTGTTACAGTAAGAAATTCAGGAACTCATATGAAACTGCTTCACATTTCCTCTGTGAAGGGCACTGCTGTTAGCAGTAAGGACTTTTATTTAAATTGATTTTTTGAGAATATTATACATGAATAAAGTATTCTGATAATTTCTACCTTCCCCTTTCCCTCCTGTAGGAGGAGCTAAGGTGGGAGGACTTGGGAGAGGAAGAGAAAAAAGGAAGAGGAGGAGCTAGAGAGGACAGAGGTGTAGGAGGATGGAGAACCACACAGGTATGGAGAGCGCTCGTGGGGAACAACTTATAAACTTATAATTAGGTTAGCTAATTGGGATACAACTCTCTTTGTATGGGCATCTTGTTATTAATCATTATCAAACATATAAAGCCTTTGATTAATCTATAAGAATTAGAGTCTCATTCTCTTACTGGGCCCGCATGGATGGCGGGATGGTCTGGGCAATGCCCTGCCTTGCAGAGACAGCGTGGAAGATTTGCAGAGCCATCTCTCACGCTGGCATCTAGTGAGTGGCAGGACTGGTGTTTCTGGTGGGCCTGTTCTAGCTGCAAAACGCACGTGGCCTCAGGCCAAGAAACATGGCGGCTGGGCTACGCAGAGCGGCTGCAGCTTAGATAGTTGGATGAACCAGAGGCCGAGTTTAAATAATTACCACAACACCCTCCAATCCCCATCACTCCTTATGAAATCCATGACCTCTTCTTTATTACTGTTACATAGTGTGTGTGTGTGTGTGTGTGTGTGTGTGTGTGACCTGCTGGGTCCATTTAGTACTGCTTGTATGTACAAGTGTTTAATGTTGACTATTTGGGATTAGATAACCTATCATGGGGCTCATCCCCAACTCTCCCTCTCTGAGTAGTGATTAATGACAGCAAGAATTCCTGATCGTGCCTACATTCCTTCCCAAACTACTTTAGCCGTTGCTTATCCTCTTCCTCCTCTGTAAAGCAAGCAGTTAGAAAGAGTGTCTGGCCTTCAGATTTTATCACATGCACCCTAGAAATTCTGGAATGTCAGCACTAAGTTCTAGGTCAGGGATGCATCCCTGACCACCAGGAATCCAGAACCTTTGCCTGCTTGTCTGAGAGCTAATCACAACAAACTCCTGCTGATGTCGAAAGGCTGACAACTTGTTTTTAAACAGCACCAGGAAGATAAAAGATCTTTTAGAAGAACTATGGGAAAGCAACCATCTTCCTTGTCTCTGGATTCTGCAGAGTAACTAGCATTCGTGGTCTCCTGGGAGTGCCACACTGCATAAGTGCCTAGCTCTAGATTTATCCAACAAACCATTTAATTATTCATACAAAGTTAACTCATGAGGAATAAGAATGGCTGGAGGTTTATAATCCACAATCAGAGAACCCTAAAAAGTAAAATTGTAGCAATCAGAGAATATTAAATTTAAAAGTTTATTTAATCATATACAAAGGTCACTGTGCTTTTAATTCAGTTTGGTTATTTAGCTCGAAGTTTTATATAATTGTGTTCTGAAAGTAGTTGATGATTTATTGTTAAGAGGCTTTGTGTGGTCCTTTAAAAGCAAATGAAATAAAAACTGCTAAATGATCAGGCCGTGGTGGTGCATGCCTTTAGTCCCAGAACTTGGGAGGCAGAAGCAGGTGGATTTCTGTGAGTTCAAGGTTCAAGGCTAGCCTGGTCTACAGAGTAACTTCCAGGGCTACATAGAAAGATCCTATCTTGAAAAACAAACAAACAAAGGAAGAAAACAAAATTAAAAAGTGCCAAACAATGGGATAGGGTGGGAGGTGGGGGAATCTCTAAACATTTCTAAAAGAAATTATCAGGGTAAATTAGGTCTAAAATCCTTAAATTGGGTTCAAATGCCCTGTGATACTACTAGACTAAGGGTATTTTCCTATACCCTTTCATCTGTGTCCTTTTTGTACACTATAAAAAATAGAATTTGCTACCACATTCATTGCCATCCAGATCAGAGGAAATATGAGAAGCAAAGACTGAGTTCTGCATTTGGTGAAGGAGCTGGCATTGAGCTATGATTAGGTATGAAGTAATGGGAAAACATTCTACCAAATGTGGGATATAGCGGCCTATTCTGTCTTCAGTCTCTTTTGAAGACAGGAAACCTATCCAGGCATCTGTGTAAGTCTCTGATCTTTGGAGGCCACGGGGACAACTTTCATTCTCTGGCTTAAAGGGTCCCAAGTAGGCCATGGTACCTTTCCTGAGACCTTCACAGGGTTGAGGGGTTTATCACTTACAGCAGGTGGAGGTGTTATATTTAAGGACTAAGGCTCTCAAAACCACAACTGGCCATCTCATCTCACAGACTCCCTCTTCGTCTTGTCATACAGAGGAAACAAACACTCTCCCTGGCCATTTAAGAAAACTGTCTTAGCAAGTAGGAGACGAATACATGTGTTATAATGTACAGAAAAGGCCCATTCCTTAATCCTTCCCATCCCTGACCACTGTTAAACATCATGACAGGTGGTGGAATTTTTAGTATATCCAAATTGACGGTCATATACCTAGTAAGGAAAACTACCACTGTTTCTCCAACCACATAGGACATATACGGAATACATCTCTATTCAGCAATATACTGTTTACTAGTATGAGCAGTACATACCACCAATTAACACGCTGGAATTATGTCACAGAGTAATAACCGACAACACTGAACACTAACATTCCCAAACATACATGTACACACACAGACATACTGTTTTGGGGATACTCATCACTGAGGAGTGCTCTCAGGCAGTCTCCCCAGACACATAATCCACCATCTGAAGAGAAGCTGTCTGGAGGAGGATAAGTTAGGCAGGCCATGTCCGCAGCAGACTCATGGCAACCCAGCATGATGGCGGCGTCCTACCATAGTGTGCTCATTGTTAAGGTACGTGTGTGGTAAGACCGTGGGCTAGCATCAACATTCACTTGTCTTTTCATGAAGTATAAAAGGTAAGCTGAGGTTTCTTGGGTGATGGTCATTGGCTTGCATGGCACATTTTTCTTCTGTTGCTGCGTTGATGTTGTCTGAATAAACATCTTCATCATCTTCTTCATCCCTGGGGTTACCCTCCAAGCTGTGTCTAATGCCATAGGCAAAGTAAATCAGAAAGCCTATGGGGAGAGAAAGCGCATCAGTGGGTTAGGAGATATTTTAATGTGGACGATTTCATACAGTAAGGCTTCCCTTCTTTCTTTCTGTGCAGCCTTAGAGAAACAGAACGTCTCCATATAGAATATATAAATGCAACCTGCTCAGCCTGCTCTTGTTGCCCATGGTTTCATGGAGATGGTTTCAGGGCCGACCACTCTGCCCTGCACAAACAATAAGGGGAGTCATCCCTGGGAGAGGCTAACTCTCTTCCCAGCAGCCACTAGTTGTCACCTCTAATTGTAGAGGCTATAAACTTGAGAGCATGCACATATGGAGGGGTTAAAGGGAGGAAACAGGAGGGAAAGTAATGTTATATTTCAAATTAAAATATATTTATATAAAAATGTTTAAAAAAATCTTCAAAAAAAGAAAAGTAGAATGTGAAAGACAGAGAGAAAGTGTCTCTTCATTTGTGACACCCCCAACCCGATAGAATATATTTTTCTCTCAACAAGTTTTTTCAGACAACAATTAGGTGGTATTTTCGACTTATGTTCTCAAAACTCAATAGATTAACTCTAAGTAGAATGATAGGCAAGGCAGAGGCTCACATTACACACGAAACGCTAGCACTGGATTATCACAGTCATGGTCAGGTAGTCTGGAAAGCATGCCCGGTGTTCACAGTGGACACACATATCCTTCTATCTGTTACTGTCAAATGGAACCCTGAGGCCTGAGCACAAAGGACTCAATAGCCACGCTAACTGTAGGGTAAAGGAGGCAATGTTTCAAATGTCCTTGGAACACAATTACTTATAAATGTGTATTTTCCCCATGCTTTAGTTCCATTTTAGAAAGCCAGGTAAAACTTTGGCATTGTTACAATGCCTTTTTGAGGGCTTCCTTTTCTCATTCCTAAGTTGAAGAAAGTAAAATCTGTGTGAACCCCAGGGTTACTGAGAGATTTGAAATAAAAACAGCTTCTGAAGGGCTGCAACTTGGTGGAATCCCATTGGCTCAGAGGCCTGAGATAGCATGTGTGGGGCTTGGGTTAAGTCCTCAACCCAAAAGGAAAGAAGAGAGGAAAGGAGAAAGGAAAGAAAAATAAAGACAAGCTGTCGGAAAACATAAGAAAACAAAACACTGAGATGTTCTTGGTAGTCGGGATGGAAGGAAATTAACAGAGCTTTTAGTTTTAGGGAAGGAGATGGCACATTCCTGTATCCACAGCCCATAAAGAAAGGTGAACTGAAGTCCAGGAGTATAAGGCACTGCAAGACCTACCAAGCACCATCCAGATGCTGAATCTGACCCAAGTGTCCGCACTTAACTGGACCATCAAGTAAATGTTGACCAGGATGCTGAAGGCCGGCAGAAATGGTAAGAACGGGACCTATGGGAAGAAACATCCTTTGAATACAGAGTTACAGAGAGAGTGTATTCTCCAAGTTATTTTCGAGTGCCAATATCTGACATATAGTCATACTGTGTCACTAAGCTTACAGTCTCATAAAAAGGACAACCCGAATAAACACCATTCCTACAGGAAGTAGTGAAAGGAAAATCACTTTCATAGTATTTGCTGAAGCTGATAGAAACAAGGACACCTGCAGATGCCATCAAGACAGCCCAGGGCTTAGGGATCAGTGTAGCTCAGAGTTCAGTGGTCTCTTTTGGCTAGCAACAGCAAGTGCCTCTGGAACTCTAGGTACATAGAGCATCCTGGGGGACTCTTTGAGGAGGTGCTGTTCACATTCAAGCCTCCTCCTAGTTTCTAGTTTCAGTGGGGCAGGATAATTTAGTTTGCAAAGGAAGACACTTGGTGGGAATAAATCCTCATAAGAGGGGCCCAATTTTCTGAAGTAAAATCCTCAAATTATCTTCCTTCAATCTATTATTTAATTTTAATATTTAGCACTTGGGAATAACTCAGAATTTCATAAATCATCTTCCTAATACTATAGACTGTACTTGAAATAATCCAGAATTTCATAAATACTATATTTTCCTAATACTATAGACTGTTCAACAGAAAATCTGTTCACTCTATGTATATGGGTGTGTGCATGTATGTATGCATGTATGTAGTATGTATGTATGCATGCATGTATGTATGTATGCATGCTCAGGTTTTTGATAAGGGGTAAGACAGTTCATTTACTGTGACTAAAAGGAATTCATCAAAGAACTCTGACTCTTGTTCACCGCTTGGTCTAGTTTAGACAAATGAAACACACAGAGAAAACGTACAGAAGAAGTGTACATAGCAATTAGGATTTTAATTATTATTTCACATACCATGAAGGCCACTTTTTGCTGATTCTGTGGTTGCTTACAAATGGTCAGAATGACAGCAGCACAGAGGACAAGAAACAGGGCGAGAAGAGCCAAGCTCCAGGCTTCTAGTCTGGCAATGGCCTGGACTCCATATGTGGTTAGAATACTCAAGCCCAAGATGAGGAAAGCTGTGGTGATCAGAACAGAGAGCAGAGTGGGTACACATCCTTTTCTTCTGTTTCTCAGTTCTAGTGGGTTGTCCTAGTATAACCACAAGTTCTTCATAATCTTCTTTACCATACAGAAGCCCCATTTCTTTTTCCATTGGGAAAACGGGATAGTCCACTTCACCCATCTAAGGATCATGGACATGTTCTCATTTCTGATTTGTACGAAGGCAACCTCCCCATCTGGCACTAAGGCCTTGCTTTATCTGTCATGTGACCAGGGCTCCTCATGTCCTATTCACAGACTATATGGGTAGGATGGTCTTGGTGGTGTACAGCTTCCAGTTTTTTCAAACTAGAAGTAGTAACTTTACTTATGTTAAGCTATTATAAAGGTTATTTGTTAATGCAAGCAAATGATACCACATGATCTGAATCTTTCTCACATTCTAGGCTTCTTCTGACCATCAACTATGCAATAAAAAAACCCTGCTACTCACTCTCAGAGAAACCTTTGCTGGCCTGCCATGAACTTACTGTAGAATTCTAAAGAACAAGGAGAGTTCTCCCACTACCCTGAGTGTCCAAAATAGCACTAGGCACACAGATAACACCCTGTAGATGTCACTCAACATATGAATAATTAGGCAACTTCAGCTGACAAATCTTTCCTATTCTGCTTCCCAACACCATCAGGATTCACTTCTGTTACTTGGCCTGATTCTTTAACATAGGGAATACCCTAAGCCAATGAAATGTGTCCATTTGTAATTCCACCACTTTTACTGTAGGGATTTCTTGCTTTCGTATGCATGTGTGGGACAGTGTGTATGTACAGATCCAAAGATAACTTCGGATGTTGGCTGACACCTTCCACCTTGTTTGAGGTAGAGTTCCTTATCTGACACCGTCTATAGCAAGCTTGCTGGCATGCAAGCTAGTGGGGGGATTCTTTTCCTACCTCCCTTCTAGCTAGAGCCACACTGCTATTACAGACATGCCCTTCCTCATCCAGTTTCACAGGGGCCTTGGAGATCTTAACCTGGAGCCTCACATTTGAACAGCACATGCTTTACCTACAGAGCAATCTCTCTGGTTCACAGATCTTCCTAGGCAATATAACATGATCCCAGGGCAATGAGAGGCCAGGTCCTTCTCCTCCCACAAGCACTGGCTCTCCACATCCACATCTGTTGGGCCTTTCAACATCGGCAGTGAAGACTTACCCAGGAATCCCACCAGAAAGCTCACGAGGGATGCCGACTGCCTTGTGGGCAGAGTGGAGGGGTTGAAGAGGGTTCGAAGGCTGAAGCCCTGTCCTTGCAGCATGGTGACCTGGGACTCGCTCTTCGAAGTTGCATTGGTACATGATTCCAAAATTTCTTTCTCAGGGGTGTATTTGGGCTGCTCATAACACAAGCCAGGTTGGTACCTATCCCCAAATAAATATTGGTTGGTATTTTTAATTTCATCAGCCCAAATGAACCTATCACCTAAAACTCTCCGGTGAGACAGTTTACAAAGTCACCATGTGTACAGTTGGGTGACACTTCTCATGACTCCAACACACAGTGTGCTGAACCAGGCTGCAAATCTCTTCCAGAAAATACCCACAACTCTGAACTCATTCTCATTGCTACTTAATTAGAAAGTTATACACTAGATGTCAAAAAATAATAAAGCTAAATTAAAGGTGAAACAATTATGGCAATAGGATGGTTTCGGAAGGCTTTGATGCCAAGTGGAATTATGATTCATGGGAAGAGCAAAGAGACAGCCACTGGCTATGGTGTCATGTCAGTCCCTCTGGCCATGTTTCTTTATTTCCAGCTTGATTTATCTAGCTTCACCCAGATAAGCTCACACAGCTACTTGACCACCTAACTATCCCGGGGAACCAGTTTCCTCTGTTATTTGCCCTGTTCTTCTACAGCTCACCAGCGTGTCACTTCCTAGTACCCTCGGCCCTCACTTACTTCCTAAACACTTCCTCTCCATGTAAAGGAGTACATTCACTAAGGAAAATGCACAAAGGGATACAGAAGGAAGTAGCAACCACCCAACAGCACCTTCTTTAAGTCTTAGCATTGTACACATAACATAAACATTTATCATTTCTGAAGGTAGACTTATAATGTGATTTAAACAAATTCAAATGCTACAGCTTTGTATCTTAAACGTTTACCGTCAAAGAAGCCACTGAATGAATGTCCCTTCATGTGTGTCACTGTTCGCCTATTGATACTCAAGCAGGCTCTGTGTTTTTCATGCTTGGCAATCTACCTTTTATAAGCATCCCTTACATCTATTTGCGGGGGCCCTTGAGAGGGTCTTTGTCACACATATTTGGGGGTAAGTACACACACATTAAGTAGATGCACACTTACTGCCTTGGAAGAAAATTCAGGATATTTTGCCAATACAACAAAGACTATCATGTAGTAGTCAAGAACAGGGCTCTATTGGTCACTTGTTAGTATTTAGAATTCTAAAAATAGAACATGTTTCTGTAGCTGCACATATTTTAATAAACTGCTTTGTAGACGAGCCAAGCTCTTGTAGGAATCAAACTGTACTTGGTTCTTTGCTAAAGGACAAGTCTGCTCCCATACTCCATATTACTGATGGACTAGTGGCATGGCCTCCGACTTTGGTGAAACTGCTGCCTTTTGGAATTCTCACTGTCTCTCCTCCCCACATCTCACCTGGTACACGCTCTTTAGAACCAACGGAGACTCACCTGAGTATAAGCACACAGGCTGCGACCAGAGAGTAGGCCATGAGGGTGCCAATAGACATCATGTCCACGAGAGCCTTCAGGTCAAAAAGAAAGGCCATCACAGCTGTTGGGAAACAGACAAGGGAGTGAAACCAAGGCCTCTGGTGACATTTCTTACAGTTGTTCACTTAGTCAGGGACAACTGACTGACACTTTTCTGTTTTGGTACCAATGACAGATCATGTTACATCATGAGATGTTTTCTGGGACATACAAACTGCTAACACTAAGACTTCAAAGCCCCTACCTAGTTCTTTAGGAAACACTAAACACATCAGCTTTGATTATTTAAAACCTGGCTTGGCCAAGAGTGAAAATATTATATGACAGAACACTGTGTTTTGAGGTCTTGCAAGGTAAACAAACACTGCCAAGAAATGCTAAAAACTGCTGTTTCCATCATAAGGAAAGTTAGGCTTCTGTATACAAGTTATGTAAGTAAGTCCTTTAAGTTTCATCTGTACCGTGTCATCTATAACTCAAAATATTTTAAATAGTCTTTACAAAATAATATTCATTTTCAACAAAATTACGTCATGGACCTAGAATAAACTCTAATCAAGTGAAAGCCACACAATCTGGAAGGCTGATTAGATGTGACGGATCAACTTATGATAAGATCTCAGCAATGTCACAAAGTAGAAATACCTTAACATTACAGAATTTGCCACACAGTTACTCCCGACCTCTGTAATCAGATAACATCACATTCAATATATATGATGTTCTAGATGTATTTACAAGTTTTATAGTCTATGAGTCACCTTAACTTCAAGTCAAGGATCCTAGGAGGCAGGGGATTTTTAGTTACATAAAATGGACAGCATTTGACTCTTTAGTTACTTCTTTATTATTTTTACTAAATCCAGCAACTTCTCATGATTTGCCTTGAACGAATTAGCCCTGTCTCATTCTCTCTCTGCCTCTGCAAACACTTCATCACTAACATACCTATATAATGGATTGTTAAAACTTCAGCATGTTTGTAATGACCACAGATAGCCAAATACTAATTCTTCATATAAACTCTCTGGCCTAAGTTTAAAAATGCAACTATGGGTGTGAGAATGTAAAATATAAAATACAATACTTTAGAAAGCATTCTACTATTGTAATACTTTTAATCATTACCTTCATTTCTTGCTATACTGCTAAATTACATTTTTCCAAATGAAGGAGAAGGTTAAATTGTCTTTAAAATTCTAGACTCAAAGTAGAATCATTAATGGGAAAGATTATTTCTTTATGAGGAAGTATTTATTATGACATGAGTTATCTTTATCATCAGAGCGAACTGCATAAAATGGACTTTAGAGCACCTACAGTAGGGGTTCTCAGACTTTCCTAATGATGTGAATCTTTAATGGTGTGGTGACCCCTAGTCATGAAATCATTTCATTGCTACATCATAACTATAATTTTGCTATTGTTATGAATCACATGTTATGCAGGATATGTGATATGCGATCCCTGTGGGGTTGCAACTCTCATGTTGAGAACTGCTGCCCTAGAAAAATCTCATTTTTATGTGGGAAAACATTTAAACCTAAGAAAAATAAGTAATTTGACCTTCCAACGCATGTCTCAAGTGTCAGATTTAGAAGATGCCTGCCAGGTGAAAAGACTTTGGCAAACGCATCCTTACCTGAAAGAAAAACTAACTGGATATTTAATAAAAACATGGTTGATCCCAACTTCCCAGTACTTTAGAGTCTCAACAAACTCAAAATGTTTATTTGACCATCTATTTCTAAAACAGTTCTTCATGTAGCTATAGAACTTGCTACATTCTTTCTCTTACTTCCTGTGTCAGGGAATCTTACGATCATTTTCTCAGACCATACCTTCCCTAGAAATTTCCATATGCTCTAAGAATCTGGTCAGAGGTAGCTGTCATGGACATCACAGCATGTCAAAATGTAGGCAATCTGGATTCTAAGAGCAAAATGTACATTTCCAAACTACTTAAAGACAAGTAGGTTCTGCATGAGGGCTGAGCAGGTACAAGTCTCACCGCACTGGGTGGCCCACTGCACTGTGGGGAATGGGGACAATGAACCACTTCAGACCGTCTGGACATTTCTTATATTAGATTAAGAATTGGTAGCATCTAGCTTTTCAAAAGTCTTGCAATCATTATTTTATAATTAGTACTTCCAAAATTAGGCAATTACTTAGTTTAGGTATTTTTCTGTGCCCAAGCTACAATTTTATGTGCTCATTCATCAATTAGAAGATTAACACCTAGAACATGATGAAGAATCATTAACAATGCTTCGCACATTTGTTAGATGCCTGAATGGTTAACATAGAAAAAATAATAAAATCCCCAATGATTGGTTAAGAATGAATTCAGTGTTTCACCATCACCATAATTATAAAATGTTAATCCCAATATTCATATACAAATCTATCCACGATTTTGTCTTTAACTTACATGCACAGCATGCAGACCCTTTTTTAAGTCCACGCATGCGCACAGCACGTTTTAGTCCAATGATGGAGAAACCTTTGTTTGTAAAGCTTACCAGAAATGACCCCTGCAGTCATCGTGGCAGCAACTGGTGACTGCCTCTTACTCACTCTTGCAAGAAATCTAAACAGTAAGCCATCCCGGGCCATGGCAAACAGAATGCGGGGTAAGGGGAACATAGAACCCAGAAGACTAGAACAGAAAAATTCATAATCCAACATGAGTTGAGTATTATTCTCCAAGGGTACTTATAGGTACACAAAGACATAAAAATAGGAAAGGCACAAAGATATTGAACTTTATGTTAATCAAAACAGAAAACCACCTGTCCACATTTCCAGCGATCTTGATGAAAAAAAATGATCCCCCTTTTCTTAGTAAAAGTCAACTCTCACCTGCCACTGCACCCGATGACAGAGTAGCAATTATTGGTGTCTTCGTTTTGGAATTGATTTGAGCTAGACATTTGAAAAGCAACCCATCCTCCGCCATAGCATAGATTACACGAGGCATTGGGAAAATGGATCCAAGAAGACTGAGTAAAAAGCAAAGACATGCAGTATGGCAAAACACATTCATGCAAGACCACACCCAGAATAGAGACACAGTGATCGCATAACACTCCGCATGACAGTTGGGACTCACATGGTCTTAAATGGCACTACCATTGGGCATGTAAACGCATCTGCCAGTAATGGCCACCGTGTTACTCTTTACACTTGCAGATGTTTGCCCAACCAAATTATAAGACCAAAGATATCACTGCAAGTCATTTGTTTCTACCCATGATTGTTACTGAATTAAAAATGAATTAGACTTTGTGAAATTAAATGAAATTAAATGAACCACCAAAATGTCGTAGGGTTAATAATTCAGAAAACAGAACTCCCAAATTAACAGGAAATTAAAAATCAGTCAGTTTTGTGCCACAGTAAGCCACTGATTTATGCAGTGATTACATACTTCCATATTATCATGATTTTGTATCCTATAGAATGATCTTTTTTGATTGATCTTCGATATATGTAATAGTTTTAAGCATCAGAATCATTAAGGTAAAGAATGCCTTAAATTTGAACATATTATAGGTTTAGTATATAGAAGGGGCGACAATTAAGGGTTAGTAGCAGTGAGGTTCAGCATACAATTTTTGCTTAAGATAAACTGAATTATTTATGTTTCTTGTTTGCATCATTCTATATAATATTCAGTTGCTAAAGTAACTAAGAAAAAGAGGTAATGTATTTGATTTTAAAAGCCTATTGGGGTTGTGGGGTGAGCATGATGGCTCATGCCTGAAACCCCGTCAATTGAGAAGCTGAGCCAGATGATTGCTGAATGTTTGAGGCTAGCCTGGCCTTCATAGTGAGTATCAGGTCAACTGTGGCTACACCACAAGACTTTGTCTCCAAAAATATCCATTTTCTTTATCCTTTTTTTTTCAGTACTTAGAGAATACTTTATTAGTTTTTGTCATTGAACCTACACAGATAAGACCATACATATTTAATTCAGAGTGTTATGCTTGCATAAATGGAAAAAAAATAAGGTCAACATTTCTAGACCAATATGGCTGTTGGTCTCTGTACAATGCCAAATCAACAGAGTTAACTGAGAATTTTTTTTCCCAAAATTGACAGCATAGGTACAGTTTCTGAAATTCAGATTATATATGTGTAAGGACCAACCATAGTAGCATGCTGTACATCAATGATTGATGTAGCAACAGGGGAATCTTTTCACCCCTTCAAAGATCACGGTGACACACTAGCTTTACAGCTGGGACTAAAACTATTCGGAATTCTTCTTAATGGACCTCATCAACAGCAGATAACTAAAAAACCCAAATGAGTAATTCCTAGACTCAGGATTGTTGGGACCAGAGACAAGAAACATTTTTGAAAGAAAAAAAATAAGAGCCATGCTGATAAATTATATTGAAAAAAAATTCTAGCTTCAAAATTTTGAAAATTATTTTCAATTTTAAAAAAAGGAATGCTCATGCCAAAAAAAAAAAGCTTTTCTTTTTCTGAGAATATTCTGTTATGGTGTGTGGCCTGAATGGAATATTCTGCTTCAGATATGTTAACTAAACATGTGAGACACTCTGGGAACCCGGGACAAGAGCAGTAACATATTAAATAAGTAGCTACTGAAAATCTGAACGTCTGACATTCACAGTCCCTTGTCTTTTTATATAAAGAATTTCCACTGGCAATTTCAGAATGGTAATTTCTGTTTTTTTTTAAATACATCCACTCTGATCAGCACTTAAAGGAGAAGGGCTCAGCTTGTCACAGTTAGAAGCACATTTACATTTAAAAATGACACAGCATATGGCTTCTAGTCCCAGACACACTATTGCTTCATGGAGAATTGTCTAAAGTGTCAAGTCTGTGTATAGTCTCTGACTGACCCAAACAATGCAGTAGCATGGCCACCCCAAAGGTGTCTATCATAATATGTGATTATGTGTGACACAGATATTTATATGTCCCAGTGCTATGCATATTATTACTAAAGCTTATACCATCATTATCTTGGGGGGGAAAACAGCTGACAATGATTATGTTTTTGTAATCACTCAAGGTTTTTAGACAGCAATTCTGGGCAAATTATTCATTGAGTACATAGTCGTTAATGTGTTCCTCATGCTAGGATATTTTTAGAATATACAAAATCAATCTTGCAGTTGCAGTGGCTGGGGCGCCCAGGGACTTCAGAGTACTAGTTAAACATTCTACCAGTGAACTACCCTCACATCCTACAAAAGCAAATTTGAAGACATTGACTACACTTTGCAAGACCCCTAAGAGCCCAAGTCCCAAAGGCAGTGCAATGTACCTTGTTGATAAGGCGCAGAGGGAACCTGCCGCGACAACGTATTTGGCAGGACCCCATCCGACATATTCAAATGCAACAGGGAGTGGGCTTTTCTCATCCAGGAGGTAGTAAGGCATCATAAGTGTTAAAGCTGCAGAGACCCCAAAATAGGCCATAAAGCAAACAAGTAAGGAAGTTACTATTCCGATGGGAATAGCCTTTTGGGGATTCCGGACCTCTTCACCTAAGGAAACACAAACAGAGATTTGCTCAATCAGTAAAGAGTTAGACAGGTGAGGGACTTTCTGTGGTCAGAGTCTCCCTCTACCTCTGTGGTCTACTCTGCTTTGGTCCCTTGGGTGTTCTTAGCGGGTTCTTTATTTCATATAAAAGTTCCCTTCTGTTCTTGTTCCATTCTGTTCTTGCTATTAACAAAAACCATCCAACCATCAGAGGGACAAAAGAAGGACAGAACATACAAGGTTTCCTAGTTGCAGAAAGGGGGGGGAAGATTAGGTCTAGAATGACAGTTGACATCATTTGGAAAACAGCTGCACTGGTACTCTGTAAGCTTTTGAATTGAGGGCTTCACATAAACTTATTTCATCTATCTATATGAAACTTCAGATTCCATTCAAAACATCAGAATATCCTTCTTGCAAGACCGACTTTTGTAACTCTCCAAGCAACTGGAAAACTAGAAAGACTCTGACATGAGGATTTTGTCATTTGGAATACTGAGGGAAGAACTGGTATTATCGTCCTGGTGAATTAATTTAAGGTGATAACTATCTGGAGGGGACAGAATCGTTAGCTACAGGGTTAAAGGTAGAACTGTGTGCAGCATTTAAGATCCTCATCAGATCAGCCAGGGTAGGTGCCGCTCTTGACCACTCAGAACCTAGCCTTCTGAGTGTTTTAGGCAAGTGGCTTTTCTATCATATGCAGCTTGGGTTGCAGGTGGATGAGAAGTTAGCATCCTTCCCGCCCCACACCCCATGCTCTTCCCTTGATCCTCTGCTGTTCCTGTGGCTACCCCTGTGCTGCCTTTTGCTCCTAACTATCGAGGAGTCATTGCCCTTACCGGTTGTTGCAATGCAGTCAAAGCCCACAAAGGCATAAAAGCATGTCGCAGCACCAGCCAACGTCCCTGTAAAGCCATAGGGCATAAAGCCACCAGCCCCGTAGATGCTTGTTCCGTTTTCAGAAGGTGGTTCTCTGAGGACAAGGACATACATTGTCAGCCATTTCAGGGAAACTGCACCTTCTGGTGATTTCTCTCAAGCTTTCCAATCCTAGGGAGGCTGTTGTTACTCATCAGCGGCTTCAAGCTAAGGTATGTAAAACTAAAACTTTATTCTGTCATCTTGTTCTGCAGAATATGGTAGAATGGTAGACTCCCTCACAATGGCAAATCCAAAAGACCTGGTCCAAACTCTCTCTCTCTCTCTCTCTCTCTCTCTCTCTCTCTCTCTCTCTCTCTCTCTCT